GCTAACTTGTTTTGTTTTATTTAGAATTTTATCAGAAATCTAGGGGATATTTAAAAAAAATAGGTAGGGAAAATTTAAGAATAAAAAATTTTAGCCTAAATATATCTTAAAGCAAAAGAGATAACCAACACATGTAAGCGTATTTTTGTAGACCTTCTCAATAAGTAGTTATATTTCAGATTATAAATGGATTTTGGCGAATAAAAAAAAATTAATACCCGAGGTGATCAACTTTGAGGGGCTACGCACTGGCCCCCATTCCGCCTTCAATCACCTACAACTGTCAATCAACTCTAAAACACATCAGCTCCAAATATGTGAAATTTCATTGCGATATATTCAATAGCTTCAGATAAACCCAATTATTTTCAAAAATTAAAGTTTCTAAACCACTTTGCAGTGGTTTACTGTTTATTATAAATAAGCAAACAACGTATTCACAAAAAAGTACAATCTGATCGTTGTTGTTGTGCAAAACTACTAATTTTCTGACGAAATTTTTAGAGGTTGTCCCAGATTTTAGATTTACCTAGCAACAAATCTGAAATTTTTGGTAATGGCCAGTAGTTATTTCATACATTACTTGGTAATGAGAGTTCATTACAATCCATCATTTAGCTGAATAGGTTATTTCTGGTAGGTAAGGTAAGGTTAGGTTGATAGGAGGATGTATACTACATCAAATCCGAAGAAACACACCTATGCCACTATCGGGCCTGTTGTGCGCTCCTTTTTATGAAAAAAAAATGTTCACTGAATGAAGTATTTTTCAGTGTTCAGAAACTCAGTTCCCTGGACGTAATTCCCAGGAATCTTCCATACAGTGTTAGTCAGGAATGTTATTTCCGGAATAACATGCTTGACAGTGGCTCCAGAGTTTCAGAACAGAGTATTCCGCTTGACATTATATGTGGGATCAGCGTTTCAAACATATTCTGTGTCTGGTATGCGATCAGGCACGTCCGATGATTGTGTATAACCTTCCAATGTGTCCAGTATACATTGATGACATGTCCTAAAACCGCTTTTGGTCAGTTCGCATAAAGTAAAGAAAGAGTCGTTCGGCTTTAAGCGCCGCTTCATATCTTAAATATGTTTCAATAGGTGGAATATCTAGCTTTGGTTGAAGTAGTACACATGGCACCACTTATACCCAAGATGAACTCGCTGTAGTAGTTTGATATTACACTTTTTGTCCAAAGCAGTCCACCACATTATTGAAGCATAAGCTAGAATTGGGTAATTACACTTTTATAAAGCCAATTTGTAATAGTAGGACTAAAACCCCATTTTATGCCTATAGTTCTTCTACATATCGCCCAGCACCGATGTTCCTTGTTGATCCTATCCTCTGTGTAGTTCTTCCATTTTAATTTCCGGTCGAGGATTACACCTAAGGAGGAGGAGGTCAACATAAAACTGGTCTAGGGATTGGATAAGAGTATCAGTGTGCACGTTATTGAAGGCGCCTTCGATGTCAATGCATACCGCCAGTGTATACAGTTTGCTATCGAAGGATTCGCCTATGTAGTGGACAACTTCGTTTAAAGCGGTTTCCAAAGTTCGTACCTTTACATAAGCATGCTGCTTAAATTTAAGGTCTTTGTCTGGTATACTGCTTTTAACCATACTATCGACTATCCGTTCTAAGGTTTTAAGTAGGAAGTACGTAAGACAGAGCATTAAGTCTTAGGTTTGCTAGGTTTCCCTGGTTTGGGTATAAATATTACCCTTGCATCCTGGCATTTAATGGGGGTATATGTTAATTTCAAGCATGCAGTGAATAAATGAGACAGATGTAAGGAAACCAGTCCCGCTTCCAAAGTGTCGGCCCCGCAACTTGATTGCCCCTTTAACCATATAAGATGTAATTACAATTTTCGTGTTAGCCTCCCCTTCCTCCAATATCGGTTCATCTATGTTGTTTGATATACTGGGTGGAAAATGAGAGTCCATTAGGAGTTTCATTGTCTCTTATATATCCTCCAGCCTCCTGCCAATGTCATCGACCATAGATTTTGGTTGGACATGAGTTTTGGATAGGAATTTTTTTATCTTCGATACGTCATTTACACTGTCTACCTGTTCACAGAAAAGTTTCCAGGAGTCTCGTTTGGCTTTTCGAACAATTTTCTTATATTCTCCAAGTTTACTACGATACTCATCCCAATATACTGCGGTCTTTTTACGCCGTAGGATTTGACTCCTCAAAGGTGTTTTAGTGTCCTTATCGGGGCCGGTTTTGACAGACTTTTCAAACGCCGCCTTCCCAATTTTGGAAAAGGCAGCTGCACTTTCTTTTGGCGAGTTAGTGGTAACTTCCTCACTTTTAGGATTTGACTCCTTAACGTTATCAGTAGTTGCTACTGATGATGTGGTCCTAGGCTTTTTAGTGTCCCTTTCGAGGCTTGTTGTAACAGCCGTTCCAATCGGCAACTTCCCAATCTTGAATATGACAGCTTTAGAGGCGAACTAAGCCCTACCTTTATTCTTGGCAAGACTAGCTATGGAATTCTTGTCGATACCTATTACAAATAAAGTTCCCTCAGGTTCTTCTTTCATGTTTTCTGCAGGGGAACTAATAATTACACCGGTATTCATAAAATTATGAATGATTTGTTAATTATTTCCATGATTCCCATTGTTCCAAATCTAAAATAAATTTAAAAATGTTATGTGTAATGTTAGGTTAGGTTGATAGGAGGATGTATACTACATCAAATCCGAAGAAATACACCTAGGCCACTATCGGGCCTGTTGTGCGCTCCTTATTATGAAAAAAAAGAAGAAGAAAAAAAAGGGAACTGAATGAATTATTTTTCAGTGCTCAGAAACTCAGTTTCCTGAACGTAATTCCTAAGAATATTCCAATTAGTGTTAGTCAGGAATGTTATTTCCGGAATAACATCACTTCCAAGATACTTGGATCTATCTTCGACGAATGCCTGGCAGTGGCAAAGAAAGTGCTCCAGAGTTTCACTGTCCTCTGCACATGCTCTACATTCATCTGAATCCGCACGTCCAATTTTGCATAGATGTGCTCGTAATCCTGTGTGTCCACTCAGAATACGTACCATCATACTAACCTCAGACTTGCTCATTTTGAGGAAATTTCTCGTCTTGCTCCCATCAGGGTCACCCTATAGAAACTTTGTAGTTCTACCCACCATTTCATTATTCCAAGAGGCCTTATGGGATTATCTCAACCATATTTTTAATTCAGCTTTTGTTGCGTCGAATGGTTTTGCGTTTGTCAGGTTAACTACATCGAGCTCCCTTCCCTTTAAAGCTATTACATTCGCCCTTTCGTTGCCGACTACAGCCGAGGGGCCTGGTACCCATATGATGTAAACCTTTCCTCTGGGAGAGTATTCAGTTAAAGCTTTCTTACAATCCAATACGGTCTTAGATTTAGTTCTATCAGCTGATATCGCTCTAATTGCCTTCTGGCTGCCGGTAAATATATTAAGCGCTGTGGGCGCCATATTTATTCTAATCCAATTTACGCATTCCGTTATTGCTCGTACTTTTGCCTGGAAGCTTGTGTTATGATTTGGTAAACGGTGGTATATTTATGTTTCTGGATCTTCAATATAGAACCCCAGCCCCACTATGACCCCCAATTTAGAGCCATCCGTGTAACAACGGATTCCTACTGGTATTTGCTCTAATGTTCCGCTTGACCAAGACATTCTATCTATCTCTGAAACGCTGATCTCAGATAGAATGTCTTGGTCAAGCGGAACATTAGAGCAAATACCAGTAGGAATCCGTTGTTACACGGATGGCTCTAAATTGGGGGACAAAATGTTTCAATGGGTGGAATATATAGCAACGTTTCCGGAGCCTTGGTTGAAGTTGTACACATGGCACCACTTATACCCAAGCAGCATGTTCGCGGAACTCCCTGTAGTAGTTTGATATTGCACTTTTTGTCTAAAGCTGTCCACCAGATTATTGAAGTATAAGCTAGAATTGGTCTAATTGCACTTTTATAAAGCCGATTTGTCATAGTAGGACTAAGACCCCATTTCATGCCGATGTGCCTTGTTGATCCTATCTTCTATGTGGTGTCTCCATTTTAACTTCCGGTCGAGGATTACACCTAAGTACTTAACTTTGTGTGTCACTGGTATCTTCTTGCCCAGGAAGCAAGGTTCAGTATACGTAGAAATTTTTGTCTTTCTTGTGAAAAGACAGATTTCCGTTTTTGCCGGGTAAACATTGAGGCCTCTCGGTTGATCCCAGCTCAAGGCCATATTCAGAGCCTCCTCAGCTGTTCTACACAAGTAATTTGGATCCTTTCCCTTTAAAAGTATTACAACATCGTCTGCATAGCAGACAGGTCTACATCCTTTCTCAGTTAGGGTCTTTAGGAGGCTATTAATCGTGGTAATGTTAACTATTAATGTATTATATTTACAGTATCAATCAGCAGAATTTAGAATTTAGGTACCGAGTTTTTAAATATTGGACCTTTTATAATTTATTTGTCCAATTTACGGACTCTAATTTCACAATGTATACAAGAAAATGACAAAAATATAAAACAAAATTCCAAACAATAAAGAAACATGAACATGTCGAAACAAAATGCTCTCCAGATCCAAATTTGCATTGCATTGTAGTTGACTTATAGTCAGTCTGTAAAAGTAAACAAGAAGAGAATTTTTCTCGTAGTCGACTACAAAATTGCTGGCAGGGAACATTTATTATTAACTGACTGGATGTTTAAACGTTGCATTTACAGACATTCAAATACATTTTCATTGAATAGTTCATTTAATATTTCCAGCCATTATAGAATCGTTTATTATTACCGCTTATTCAACGTTTTTTTTCAACTTTTCATTTGCTTGCTTTATTGTGGCAACTTATGGCGAAAAAGTTATTTAATTTTTTTTGCTTTGCATCTACTACATTTTATATCCTCCACCTCGACTCGTATTGTTCCAGTTATATTTAATTTCAATTTTGTATTGCGCTCTATTTTCTTGCAGGTGGTTTAACTATGAAGGAGGAAAGTTGTATTGTATTGACTCTTTACTACCCGCGACAAAATAAGCTAACTACCTGTCATTCACTTCCGAGTCTGCCAACAGTTCTTCACTCGCTCGGCATTGAGCAACTAGCAACGTAAGTACATATAATATGTATGTGTGTATGTATATTTAAATTTACATTTAAAGTTCATATTGCATAGAATTCAAAATATAAATCATAATTTTATTAGAAAATAGAATATGAAATTTGGCTATACCAAGACTTATTGTTCTAAATTCTTATTGAAAAAATTGCAACTAACTGTTTTTATAGACCTAAGGGGTTAAGGAATACAATAAAATCTTTTGTAAAATTTTAAAGTTAATTAAATTAACATTTTAAAAGAATTCAAAGGAGTAAATTTATGTTTACTTACATACATATTTATATAAATGTTACATTACTTAAACCCATTCCTGCCAAATACTTTTTAGTATAGGTACAGAATTTATTACAAAAACAACGACGCCATCTGTTGAATAAAAAATACAAACACTCCTCAAGGGTTTTTAGGTACAGTCTCCCATTTACTCAAAGACCGGCATAATGCAAAAAATCGTTTCGAGAAAAATGACTTTGTTTTTATACCCACCATCAAAAAAGATGGGTGATGGTTGATTTTGTCATTCGATTTGTAACACGTCGAAATATTGGTTATAGACCCACAAAAGTATATATATTCTGGGTGCTTATTAGATCTGAAATTTTGCACAAATATTCTCTATTGCTGCAGTTTATTTGGTATTGAAAATGGGCAATATCGACTGATGTTTTCACCCAGCCCCCATACAAGTGGACCCCCGGAATACAGTTTAAGCAGACATAACTGCTATAAAAGAACGAAATAGAGACTAAATTCGACATTAATTATCTCTACCAAATTTTATGATCGACTCATAATTAACCCTACCCCCCATATAAGGTCTCTTTCAGAAAATTTCTTCAACGCTAATTACAGACTTAAAAATACGAGTATACCGATGAAATTCGACACAAATAAGTTCCTGAGCCAAAACCTTTCTATTAGATATATATTGAAGATCGGTCCAAAATTTCCCCTTCCCTCCATATAAGGTCCTCTTTACTTTAACGAATTTCGACATAAGCAAGATGTATATAAATCAGAATCGGTTTAACAAATTGTGACCCTAGCCCCCATAGAAGGTCCCCTTCAAAAAATCACTATAACGCTCATTACTGGCTTCAAAATACGAGTACAGTTATGAAATTCGACATAAGCAACTTTTATATGAACGTAAATCTTTCTTTCCAATTTCATGTTGAATGGGTCGGTAAATCACCTTACCCTACATATAAGGCCCACTTCAGAAAATTACTGTACAGCGATGTTATTCGATATAAACAAGTTCTATATGAACCAAAGTCGATCTACAAAATTTGATATGGATCGGTCAATAACTAACCCACGCCTCAGAAAATGAAGGTCTCCCCTTCAAAAAATTACTTTAACGCTAGTTATTGGCTTAACAATATAGTACAGCTATAAATTTCGACATAAAGTTTTATATGAACAAAAATCGCTCTATAAAATTTTATGAGGATCGGTCCATAATTGGACCGAATATGTACATTTGTATGGGAGGTATATGAAATTGAAAACCGATTTTTCTGATATTCAACAATGTTGATCCTGCCACAAAGAGCTGTATCAGTGACAAAATTCATCAATTTATCAGTAGTTTTTGTAAAAAGTAGAAATAAATATGTGAAATATCAAAATTATTTTCGAGGTTGTCTCAAATTTTTACTCATAACTCTGAAGCTATTTCAGCGATCTTGCTGATTTTCAATACCAAACTGCTTAGAATAACAATGAATATTTTGAGTGAATTTCAATGAGTTCCATGCTTCGTTTTAACGTGGGCGTGTTTTATACAGACAGACAGACGGAAATATCTAAATCGACTAAGAATTTCACGAGGATCAAGAATATATATACTTTTTGGGTCTTAAATAAATATTTCTCAGTGTTACAAACGGAATGACAAACTTATATACATATATATATACTAGGCTTCGTTTCAAAAAACAAAATATTTCCCGTTTTTGTGATATCACAACTTTTTAGAAGGTTTTTGTATCTGTGATCACTATGCTGTAATAATTTTTTCAAAATTCCAACTCCTTCCTCTGCATATCTGAGGCGGAAACCACTGATTTTGAGCGACATTTTTTACAGAGCAGAAACTATAGAATTTATAGGAAATCATGCTCTAATAATTGATTTTATAGGAAAAATCAATAAGAATGAGCTTAACTTCACACATTTAGTATTATCCAAAGATGCACTTTTTTCAAAAAATATTTCAAAAATTTTTTTTCTTTGTGCATAATTTTTGCTGAGACAAATGGTGCGAAAACAGAAATTTTATCATTAACCCTTTAGATGTGATGAGACTTTAAATTTTCAGATTTTAAACTTTACAACGCTATATTTCGAAAACCACGAAAGTTATAAGACCCAAAATTTGTCATTATACAATGACATTAATTGGGTGGAATTTTATTACATTCGGAGATGATGATGAATAACACCATCGTTTGATGGGAAATTATTAAACCACAAGCTAGCATTATAACCATCATAACTCCTAAACGGATTACAATAAATTAAAAATTTTAACCTTTTTTTTAAGGGCATTGAATATTATATTTTCGAATGATGAATGTCGCCTAAAATCGGTATTTTGTCCGCAGATATGCAGATGAAGGAGTTGAAATTTTAACAAAATAATTACGCCAATATTAGCGTTGATCCAAAAACTTTCATAAAAGGTATGATATCACAATTTAAAAAATATTGCGTGAAGCCCAATATATACCCTCTATCACCACTTATGCTGATGGAGGGTATAAAAAAACAGTTGCTGAATACTTTTTGTCAACACTGATCTTGCTCAATTGCATACAAAATTAAACAGCCACGTTTTCTTAATGTTTTTGAATCGCGCGTTAGCAACGAAATTCGTATTTTTATGTAAAAACCACTAGTTAACAATCGAGAGATGTAGCAATCAATGGTGCAGTGATCAGGACATAGAACTGGCAGCTATAAGGGTCTAGGTTCAAAACCAGTCTGCTGGTAAAATTTTTATTTTATTTTATTTTTTTTTTTTTTTTTGTAATAAAATAAAACAATTTTTTAACCCCCTTTTAGACCTATTTTATGGCTGGTATGTAAAATTATGGTCCGATTTTCCACATAGTTGATCCTTGTATATAAGCCATATATCTTCCGAAATTCATTAGTTTATCTGCAGTAGTTTTTGTAAAAATACAAAAAACCATTTGAAAAATTAAAATAGAGGTTGTCTGAATTGTTTACCGATTTTGCTGATTTTCAATACATTATCTGCAGTAGTTTTTGTAAAAATACAAAAAACCATTTGAAAAATCAAAATAGAGGTTGTCTGAAATGTTTACCCATATCTCTGAGCCTATTGTACCGATTTTGCTGATTTTCAATACCAAACTGCACCAGATAATGATGCATGTTTTCGATAAATTTCATTGCTTCGTTTTAACGTGAACGTGTTTTACACAGACATAAAGGCACACGGACGGACAGATAGACATAGCTAAATCGACTCATAATTTCATAAGGATCAAGAATATATATACTTTGTTGGGTCTCAGATGAATATTTCTTAGAGTTACACACGTAATGACAAAGTTATATATACCCTCTATCACCACTGATGTTGGTGGAGGGTATAAAAAGAACATCGCTCCTATGACAAGTCAGTGTTAAAAATTTCACTTCTGCAGGTATTTTTTAGTACTTTCATAGAGTAAATTCTACTTCTTCGATTCTTTGGAAGTTCTTTTTTGCTGGGTAAGTGTTTTTACATAAGGCTGTGGTTAATCATCGTTTTCACTATTTCTTGTTCATATTTTACATAAAATAATGCAGATCAATGATTTTGTATGGCATTTAGATTTTGATACTAGGATAAACAGCGTTGAAAATCGTAAAAATCGGATCACAAGTTTTTACAAACAAAATTACTCGTATATAAAAAGTTTTGTATTATATCTTTATTTCCATTTTTACACAGATACATATTATGTTAAATACTTATCATAGTTTAACATTTGTTAAATTTAGTACATTAGGTATGTAACAGTCTGTTAAGTATTAGTTACGTTTTACATGGCATAGTTTAAGGCGTAATGGAAATGAAGGATATGTTATGGTGAATTTAAGTCCACCGTTAAAATTTGACGATTTAAATAACCTGTTTATGGTGGAAGGTATAGCACTTTAACTTGTTTTTATTTTGAATTTTAATTTTGCAATCTCCAGTGTAGATCGTTGTTTGTTTTTATTGGCTAAAAGTATTCAAGTATTCAACAAATGTAATCAGATGGCATCATTAATTCAGTTCATGGAAAGAATGGAAATTGCTGCCTTTGTTTACACACCCCTCAATTATAAAATAAATGTAATTAATTATTTTATTTGACGGTTTTTGTACATCTTTATATTTCAAACTTAAAAATTTTAAAAATATAAAAAGATTTTATGTAATTGTAATTTTCTGTATTAATAAAACTAAAAATATTTTTTTCATATATGTACATATCGCACACCTGGTTCAAAAATGACTCAACTAAAAATTTTTTCGGGGTTTATAATTATAATTAATTTTATTTGCATTTTTATTTATTTAATTTTAGAGATTCAAATCCAGTACTCATATCTTCTCCTCCAGAATTGTCCGGAATGACTTTAGAGACAAGACTGCTATCATATGACTGGCAAAATCATTTTAATGAATTCCAAGATGCAACCAGAAAAGGTTCATTTAAGCCACTTTGTTGGGGTGCAAAAAATCATGTTGTACCGGTAAGTTTATGAAAATTAAAAACTAATTCTAATAGTTAATAAAGTATAGGAATTTTGTATGGAAAAGCGTATAATAAATATAAAATAAACGATTAATCTTTATGAATATGGCGGTAAGAATTAAAGATTTAAAGAAACAGACAATAATATTTTTTGATCATTTTGTTTATTTAAAATTAAGAAACGTGTAATAAGAGGCTAGATGAGATAAGATAAATTTTAATTTCATTCTAAAGCTGAAAGTACAGTTGATGCTGTAAAGCGTTGCATGCTTTCACAGCACGCTGATCAGCTGTCAAAGCGTCAAAAGTTAAAAGTTGCTAAACTTTTCGCGTTACAAATTGCAATGTTTAACTTTTTAAATGAAAATACACAGTTTGAACTTTCTGCTTCCATTTAGAGAGAATACTTTCAATTTTAAAACGGGTTTTTCCGTATTAAAAGGGCGTGACACTTTTCATAGACCGCCCTTATCACTTGAAATGCAAAAGGGTCCAACCCAAAAACTTAAAAAACACAGTCTTTATTTTTACAAGTCAGAATGTCCTAAAAAGCAACAAACGTGTTTCTTGCTGTTGGGATCAGGGTTGGATAATCGAATTTTCAAATTGTACAAAACAACATTAACAATTGTACTTTTTTGACTCCATTTTTACCAAATCAAAATTTTTTAGAAATTTTATATCATTATAAAGCACTTTCAAAATTAATAGTTCATTTGTATTAGCTCATAGATTAGACTAGTCAATAAACAAGATCATTTTGTCACCTAATTGATCCATAGACTAGACGGTCTATAGCCTCCCTATGGACTACACAATAGAGTAGTCTATAAACTAGACAATAGACTACTCTATAGACTAGACTAATCTATAGGTTAGACATTAGAGTAGAGTTTTACTAGTCTATAGATTAGAATGTTATATGTTAGTCCAAAGGCAAATTCATAGAGTAGTCTATAACTAGACCCTAAAGACTAGATAATAAAATAGTCGGTAAATAACTCAAAGACTAACACAGAGACTAGTCCCTAGAGTCTAGGGCCTAGACTAATTTATAGACCAGACGATAGAAAATTTAGAAATTTCAGATTATTATTTCAATAAGGAAATAAATTTAAAATTGTACAAAATGGGTCATTGGTGCACCATTGAACTTTTGAGGATTGAATTGTACCAAAAAAAGTACAATTGAAGGGCTTATTGCAGTTACTCGATAAGCCACCAACCATCATAATTCGATTTTATGTGCTTTTTGAGTTGCTAGGAACCATATCTAAAAAGATTTTTAACATATTATGGTAAATTGGAGATATATTGGTCATGCCACTTCTTCAATTTAAACTATATGTAACAATTTTTATTTCATAAAGTCGATATGCCACATTTATTTTTTTCACTTTATAAAAAAGTCCTTTATAATGATGAAGATAAAAGCGGAATTGATAATTTTTGATGTTGTTAGGATAAAACAAGGTAAGACAAGTATCAAATTACTAAGAAAAAATTTTATTGATCAAAATCTCGAGATATATAATTTTTTGAAATTAAAGTGGCTTACCATGTTACTGCACAAAAATAATTTAATTTATAATTATGTTGCTTACCAAGTTTTTGCTGTTTGGAAAATGTTTGATTGTAAAACATCAATAAATTTTGTTTATAAATTGATTTCCATTTCGGGATAAAGATCTTATATAAAGTTCAAACTATGTGCATAATATAAAATCATATTTATCATACCAAATTACCAAAGACATTGCAGCATATCCTATAATATTTGTAAAACATGTCACAATCATCAGCTTATACAAAATGATAATATTATAACGCCTGTTATATAAAGTGCATAAAGTTCTAAAACATTTGCAAGATTTCTGACGCAACATGCTTCGAAATTGGTTTAGATGTTTAAAATGATGACCAAGAAGCAGAAAATCAATGATGCTGAATAAACGCAAGATTATATAAAATTTTAACCTGAATATTCAGTGCAAAACCCAAACCAATGTGTTTTGTCATTCTATATAAAATATATTTTGCCTATACCGAATCATAATAATTTAGCTAAGTATATTTAGCCAAATTTATTCTCATATGAAAAAGAAACTAAAAATAATATATTAAATTTCATATTGAAAATAAAATTTACATATATATTTTTTTGCAAGAACATGATAAGCCACTTTGAAATGTACTAGAACTTGTTTTTTGAAAATAAAAAATTTTCAATTATTGTTAGGCAATAACTTGATAAGCCACAATTTTTTGCTAAAACAGTGGTTTCCACTTTATTTATGATATCCATCTATTGGCATAAGATAGTTATCGACCTTATATGATTATTAAGCGTGTTTTAAGTACAAATTTAAATAAGCCATTCTTTTGAGAATTTGTTTAAACTTTAATGTCGGTTTACTCAAAATTTTATTTTTGTGGCATATAGAGTTACTGCAATAAGCCCTTCAATTGTACCAATTTTGTCAACCCTGGTTGGGATATAATACATGTAAGAAAATATCGTTTTTATAACAATAGTTTTAATTTTAATAGTGCATTTCAGGTGACGATATGAATATACATTTGAAAACTCTTACCGTGTTACGTTCTCAGATACTACAATTTCATTATAATTTTGTGTGAGAATGGCACCTCTCTCACTTCAGTGGTTTACAAGGTACAAACAAAAAAAAACAGTCATACATAAGTCGAAGCGCTGCACATCCTTTAAGTAAACTTGGCATAAAGTAAAAATTTAGAAATGAGTTTTTTTGATAAAAAATTAATATGCCTGGAAAGCTAAGACTTTTTCCATATATCGCTATCATTTTCCCATTTTTATTGTGTTGCTCAAGTACTCGAACTATCTAATCTCTGACCATTGCTGTCCTGTTGCTTAACTTCCGAGATGGGATGGCTTCTATTGATTCAGCAACAGCACCTAAAAACGTAATCGGTAGACCGAAATTCTTATTTCTTCTTAGCCACATAGAACTCACTGTGATAAATCTGATATGAACAGAATAAACCCTGAACATACTCGGACAAGGATGGAAAAATCTATAGTGTCACTTGTATAAGATACCTTTCATCCATCACCATTCAACCCAGCACATCCGACACACTCACTCTAGGTACATGAATTTAAGCAAATAGATGTCTACTTTGTAAAATATCTAGTAGGTATCTTTACCTATTGGGTAAGTTGGCATGTATTTTAAATGTATGGATTAAAATTACCAAATATTTTTCCATCAAGGGTAACTATGCACTTAAAAGTACCTATTTGTTGAAATGACGGGCATTAGTCCCACAGTCAATCCTCAGCGAGGTATCTATTATCTCGGCTACAGGACCGATATTATTCCGAATTATAGACATTATCATGTATCAGTATTTTAACCAACATTCTCCTTCCGCGAGTTTGGATTTAATCCACAGCGACCACGTGCACCCCGAAGAAACCTTTCCAATAACCAGGACAAGATAAAGTCCGAAACTCTGTCCTGTAGGCTAGCGGTTCGCGTGGTACTAGATTATAATTCTAAGGAAAGACCGAGGATGCATTTGATTATCACCAGTTTATAGATGTTAATATAATATCAATAGAAATCATATTGCTAACCTAGATATGGATCGGTCCATTATATATCAATCGCCCTGCTAAATGTTTTCTGGATCAGTCCATAATTGGTCATAGCTCCCATATAAGGTCCACTTTCGAAAGTCATTTAATACCACATGAGTGTGTTTTGTGTATCGATAAATAATTTTCAAAATTTTTGTTCCTATTGGTCCATTATTGGTCATGGTTCCCATATAAAGTCATAGCTCAAAAGGATTATGTTTTGTATATATATACAAATCTTTCTCCGATTTGCACCTGCCACTGAGTAACATCTTCTAATGTAAATTACTTTGAAAAATATGTATAACATTAAAGATAAAAAATAACCTTCATTCATATGAATTTTATTCTTTTATTTAATATCTGACAGAACAATTTGTCTTCTTGTTTTCTTACGGTCGATATGACCGATTCATGTGCTAATAATTTCCAACTCTTACGTTGGTCTTTAAACAATGTACCATTCATATAATTTAACATTTTTTATTGTTCTTCTATTCTTTTTTATGACATAAAGAATACGGAATACCTGGAGGGTTACAACGTAAACATTACGAAATCCTATAGAAAACAGAAACACTGTAAACACAAGAGACTGTTTGTGACGGAAGAAACAGTGCCTGACATCAACTTTCCTGTTCTACATGAAGTCGACAACAACAACATTATTGAGGGTGCTGCTCGAAGCAGTAGAAGTTCTGCCACAGATGGATTAAGTGTAACCCACGGCTACAGTCGAACGATTGCAACAACTTTATCATCTACAACATCGTTTCTAATGTTGCAGCAAGTATTCAGGTGGTGGTGGTGCTTCCTTCCATCGTGAAAGATTTAAAATGTCACAAATTCACCGCAATTGTGTAGGAAAACATATGATATTGCTACGTTGTGCATTAAGGTAAAATTCACAAAAAAAAAAAAGACACAATGAAAGATAATAGGAACATAAAAGTAAAAAATATATTTTTTTCTTAATTTTTTTATTTTATATTCCCCTCCCATAAATGTATTTTTGACGATATTTTTTATTTAATATCGTATTTTTTACTTTTTTATACATCTTTATTAAATTGATTAATTTAAAGCCATTGGTGTAGGTATGTTTGTGAGAGATAACGTACAATTTTAATTAAGTTTTTTTCTATCAAATTGAGTAATTGTTTGTCCGATTGGACTTTGAAGATAATGTTAACTTTATATCATTCTGAAAATAATATTTGAGTATAAAAATTAGTTCTTCATTTTTAAGCTGAAACTTAATCAGCTGAAATTTTATCAGGCATTACATAAATTTAAAATTATTTTAAATTGTAGATTAAACTTATATGTTTGCTGGGTATTTATAAATACACACACATACACCAATGGAAGTACTGATTTTTATTGCTTTATTATAATTTGTTTTTATATAATTTATAACGTCCTGTAAGACTTATAATTTAACAAACGAACTGATTTTAAATAAATTTTTATTATCATTATTATAATTTCATACATTTAAAATGTGTGTATAAAATTTAAATGAAGCATAGCTGACATTTAACTTAAGTATTTCTTTTTTAAGTTAATTGAAAAGTAAAAATGAAAAGATTTTGTTTATTGAACATGAATTTAAATTTAGATTGACACTTATACATTTTCGTAAAAGTCAAAGAATAAAATTTTAGAAATAATAATGACAATGGAGTTTTTAAGTATAGCAAATAAGTAATAATAAAAATATGTGATTATTTTAATCATTAATTTGTTTGAAGGCTTTATAAGTTGTAATTTATAAAACAGCGAGTCCTTTGAATTGACTACTTTTAAAATCTCGCTTGGAAATTTCATGTCCCTGTTTACTTTTTTTTAATAAATTAAGCCGATTATTATAGGAGCAGAAAGAAAGAGTCACTAGAGAATGATATTTCCTATTATTAATTTATACATTCATCAAATAACCAACACATACACCAAATAAGTTAATAATAATTAAAAATTACAATATACATCAGTATAATAAAATTGTATATCAATTTTATAAAAAAAATTGGTTCAGACAGATATAAAAATTCTACACCATTCAGGCTATTGTTCAACAATCAGATCATTTAAAATTTCTTAGCAAGATCGTTTTCATACACACAACATATAACAACAACAACATATAAATACACATTTATACCTAATATTAATCAAATGATGTATAATTTTAGAAAATATGGTAAAAATTTTACCAAAAATACAATAGGGCGTAGTAAACAAAAAAGTTTAAAATTGACTTTTTGATTGAAAATGGTTCATGGCATCTAAATGCATAGTGTCAAAAAGTATTTAGAAGTCTATTGTTAAAAATTCCACAAGTTCTATTGATGTTGTAACTTATATTGAAACGTGTTATTAATGTTGGGATATATGTAATACATTTAAGAAAAAAATTATTTTTATAACAACAATAATTTTTGTTTAATTTTGTTATTTGTATTTCCTAACAACTTGTACTTTTTCACGATTTTCTGTCTGTATGGTGTAGGATTTAAAAACTGAATCTTTATCATTATTTGCAATGTTAAGCAATGAAAAACAAAAACAATCAAAATTAGTAAGTATATTAGCAACATTAGTACTTAAACACTAAAACATAATGAAAAACCAATTATATAAATACAAATATTTTATATTCAGTCTGACATTATAAGTTCATGTCATTAAAAAATCATAAAAAGTATTTAAGTGTGGAATTGTTATAATATTGAAAAATCTTAATCTTATGTATGTACATTATGGTGTCCCGTGGACCACTTTTTTGGTTGAATACCTCTCAAACAATGCATTTTAATGTACTAAATACGAAAAAAATGAAATAATTTTTTTTTGAAAAGGTCCGCAGTTCCCTACCTGCTATTAAAAATCTTGATCTCAGTACAATATGTTGAAAAAAATTTTTGCCATCTTTTCGATATGGATCTCAAAAATGCGTAATTTTGTGCTTCTCGCGGAAAAAATTATTAAAATATTTGTTAGTTTATTTCTGGTTCGCAAAACAACTTTTAGTGTGTTATAAGGGGCATATAAATTTTAAAAAATTCAAAAAAATCTGAAATTGGCCAAACCAAATGATAAACAATTTTGTGTATAAGCCAAAAATTATGACAATTTTAAGACCTATTTCGATAAAAATACTCTACAAAAATTTTTAAATTATTTTTCCCGTATTCAGCCCTAAATTACGGAATATTCCCATTTCAAAAATATCAAAAGTGTTTTATTTTTCAATAATTATACTGATTCCAGGATTTTTAATCGCTGGTAGGGAACTGAGGACCATTCAAAAAAAAATAGTTTTTTTTCGTATTCAGTACATAAAAACGGATCGATTGAGAAGTATTCTTACATGAAATTCTTAAATAGGCTGATCCTCGGGACACTCTTATGTACAAAAAAAGTTTTTTAATGGCTCATGCTCGATTTTCTTTACCAGTTGGAAATGCTTTATATACCTGCAAAATGTTGTATTTGATAAAAAATTAAAAAATAATATCTTTTGTTAATTTAAAATTTTATGATTTTAGTTATTTGGATTTTAAAAATATTTTTAAAAAATAAATCTATTAAATAAATACGATGAAAAAAAACTTACATACATACATAAATATGTATGTACATTAGGGAGGTCCTATAATAGAAGTTGTTAATGTTCATTATAAGCTACCATTTCTTAACTTTTCTGTCCTGACGTCAATATTTGATGAGTTGGACAAAATTATCCTTTTTTGAGGTTTTAATGATAAGTCTAAAACAAATTTGGTAAAAAATGTTGATAAAAAGACCAAAAAAGACCCATGTCTCCCGGTTTTGCCCAAAGTTATGCACTTTTGCCTTAAAGATTTGGGGCATCGGTGTCATTTTTACAAAAAAGTGATAATTTTCTCATGCTCATAGCTTGCAAACCGATCGGAATTTTGATTTACTCCTATCATAAAGAACCAAAATTGTATGTATGTAGTGTTTATAAAAACCGACTTTTGGAAAAATCGGGTTTTCAGTTAACCGAAAATTGACCATTTCTAGAAAACCGGTTTGTCGGTTAACCGAGTATAAAAAAAACCGGTTAAATCGGTTAACCGAAATGTTTGGAAATCTTTAAAATATTTTACTATTTATTGGAAGAAAATGTCATTTTGCGAAATATTATTAATTACTTAATAAGATATTTGCACTTTTTAGTATAGATATGTACATTAATATACTACAAGAAAACAAACTTATTCAGTACCCCGTTTCTGTAACTTTTAGTGAGAAGTTCTCACATCGAGAAGTGTGAAACAAAAAATTCCATCGTTTCTCGATTTGTGAGTAAAAAGTGTTTCTGTAACTTAAAGTGAGAAGAGGCTACACGAATTACGTTTTTATTGGAAATTTCCAATAAAACAGCTGTCAAAAATATAAAAATTAAAAGAAGAAAACGAACAAATTTATAAACGAAGAATAAATAAACAAAAAATATAGAAATTAAATGAAAATTGTTCGAAAAATTATCCCACTAAATTCACCCTTGCCAAATTCTAAGTTTACGCCCACGTACTTTTTTAGCATTTGCTTCTGTATATCCGAAATTCCTCGTATTTTCTAAAAATTAGTGAACAATATTTATTTTAATCTTAATTAATTATAAATATAACATTACTTTTTCATTATTTCATAGAATTCGCGTTTAAATTAATTTTTTTTTAATTAAAATTTTACTTTCCGCACCGTTTTAAAATGTCACTTCTCACAAAATTTTCTTACAGAAACACTTTTACTCACAAATTTCCAATAACTTACTTCAAAAAACATAAATGACAGATAGTTCTCACAAAATTTTCTTACAGAAATACTTGCATGTGAGAAATGATATTTTGTTTCAATTCACATTGTATTTTCTACAATTTCACTGTTTCATGCGAGAAACTTCTCGATGCGAGAGTTACAGAAACGAGGCACAGATCTGAAGATATTATTGATTCGTTAGGTATATGGAAGTTGCCATAGGAGGGATAAATTGACCTTTGAATATATAATTCATATATATCAATAAAATATTTATGTCCAGGACTATCAAGTATAAATAGTGTTTAGGCTCGCGACGATTCATCGGGAACGAAAATAAACGACGACTGTCTCGACATAGACATTGAACACCTGCTTTAATTGTGACCTCCCTCCGCTCGCTACGCCTGTGGTTGTTCAAATTACTGTGAATGACGCTTAGGAATATTGACAGGTGTCATTCTGACTTCCTGTCAATCAACCTAAGCGTCATTACAGTTTGTGAAAAACTCCAGTTGCATAAATTCTCGGACAGCGACTACAACCCTTATTTTTCGAAAAATGAAGTCCGTTTTGAGAAAACTTTTGAGAAACTTCTCTGTAACTCACGCAGTAAACAAGTATGTTCATCCTGCATTTTATCATCAAAGTTATTTATTCGTCTTAATAAATAACAAATTTCTTCATATAATGGTTGGAATTTGTTTAAATAGTTAATTTTTTATTGGTTTAAATGCCAACTTTTTACTAATTTCCTGATTGTCTGAAATTGTAAATCTCGATTTTATATACATAATATATGTTTAACATTTCCTAACATTTGTTTAACAATCTTAGGTGTGTTTTCATATGCACAAACGGAAAATAATGTTTAGAATTATCTATCCAAAAATTTTTAAAATCACAATAAAAAATCAAAGAAAACATACAAGTTTGTACTAAAAATTAGATTTTTTTGAAACCGATTAACCAAGACTTAAAAACCGGATAACTCGGTTAACCGTAAACCAATGTTTTAAAAAAAAAGTTTGCGAATAACCGAAATATGCAACATTATATGTATGCTTTTATAAAAGACACCTGTACGTATACGTGTTAAGTATTTATTAATATTACAAATATTAAGTATTCGCGTGATTTATAGAAGCACTTGAAATATGTTTTTAACACGTAAACAACTAATATTTGAAACTTTTTGCGATTTTAATCTTGAGGATAAAGTTTCTTAAAACCTGAGAAAATTATCACTTTTTTGCAAAAATTACACCTAGGCGTCAAATCTTTGGGGGCCTCAAATCGTGTTGCACTGTT